GGTCTTCTTCAGTGAACTTAATAAAATATGTATAAAAATATATAAAAATAAAACTATAGTTAAAATTGTTACATATAACGTGTGTAGCTTTAAGATTGTAATGTGACTGCTTCAATCCATTTCGTTATTGTCACTCTTGGCGACATATCTCGATACAATCTTAAAGCTACACACGTTATATGTAACAATTTTAACTATAGTTTTATTTTTATATATTTTTATACATATTTTATTAAGTTCACTGAAGAAGACCTCAATTTAAAAGAGGTCGAAACGTTTGATTGTCTTATATATTTGTTTTAAATATTTTTAAATTGTTTTAATAAAATACGAAATTAAAGTATCTTCCCTTTTAATCAAATCTTAAGTTTAATAGACTTATTAGCAAAATACCAAACGGATAGAAAACTAGAAAAATCTGCAAAAAAGCAGCAGAAAAGTCTTGGGGGTCTTTTCGTAAATATAATGAAACTCGATGAAAAAATGTTGTGGAGAGCTCGGAGACGTCTTATTTTCCTTAGAAATGTTTACTCTCTCTAACTTAAGAACTTCAAACTGAAATACATTAGATGCTTGTAAACGTATGCCTTCATACATTTCTATACTACTGTACAACTATGATGATTGTTGCTTAAAATACGTGACGAAAGTTTAAGCTGTTTCTTTTTCTGACTTTTTCGTCAACCACGACAGCTAAAACAATACTAAAGAGCAGGGATGGCACTTTACCTTTACCTTACTTGTAACTAGTAATGAAGTTAACGACTTCGTTACTAGTAGCGAGTAACTCATGTCGTTACTTAGTTATTAGTAACGAGTAAGTAATACCAATAAAAGTAAGTACTAAGTTTTTGAATTACGCGCGCCTTAATTCATTTATTGAAATATTGTTAGTAATATTATGTAAGTTAATTAGATCAGTTAGATCTGATGATTGCAGCGTATCTGTCGAAATTTGGTTTCTTATATGAAAAACGGCGAACGATTTTCTGGAAAACCTGTATTCCAGAAAACGTTTTTTGAATTTTCTGCAAAGTGAGACATTTTCAAAGCCCATGAGGCATTTTATTGCTGAGTTATCCGACTTGGAGTAGAATGGCCACGGGTTTCTTAGATTTTAACGGCGTGTCAGATCTTCACAACGTCGTAGAATCATCCAGAAGCATTTTCCAGAAAATTTATTTCTCCACCGATCTGGATCGCATTGAGAAAAACGTTTTCTGGATATAGATTTTTCAGAAAACCCTCTGAAGTGTCTCCGGAAATCTTGAAAGGTGTTCCATCCAGTGTTTCATTCCCGTTCTGCGCCGTTTTTTACATGCGACACCAAATTTTGACTGGATTTGAGTAAAAACTAACAGTTTTATTCAGCGATGACTTGACGGATTTTGGGCAAAACTATCTGAATTGTAATAAAAATCAGTTAGCTCAGAAACGGAAAAGAAGTTCGGGAAAAGCAAAACGTTTGGATGGCATATAAAATAGGGCTTCACCTCTTAACTAAAAAGCTAAATAGATTTACAAAACGATCGAAGAGCATTTAGCATTCTCAGTTCGCTTAGCCACCGGCGACTCATTTTTTGATCTGAAGCTTTAAAATATCGTTTTTATATTCAGCTTTTAACGCTGATTATGAAAACGATTATTTTAAACCTTCAAGATAATCCCGGTCTGAGTTATTAAACATTTGGACGTTTTTTGAATGTTTATGCTGCTAAAGTTTTTTAACTTTTTTTTCCACTGAAAAAATTAAAACTGTATTTTCTTGATCAGCTCGATGCGTTCTATCAAACCATGTATAAATAAGTCAAAAATAGCATAGTGTATGATTGCCTCTGTCTGGAGAAGAAAAACATCAGTAGCGAAAAAAACAAATGTAGCAGTGACCAGAAGAATTTATTGAAATTCATTGACGGGTATTTATATTACAACCTCATGCGTTTTGCATGCCCTGCAAAATACCACAAACCAAAGCCCTTTCACCTAAATGCGGTTGGTCCAGGAGGGAGGAGAAAGTCATTTGTTTCTTCTCTTCTGACAGATATGCTTATAATAAGTATCACGCTTCGTAGTATGTATGTCTTTTCTCTTCAATATAATAAAAATTAAAATAAAAGAAATCGAAGAAAGGATGAAACAGTTAGTCATCGCTGAAACGTCAATCAGATGTAAAGCTAGGAAAAATTTAGAAATCCTTAAAATACAGGTATAGTAAGAACTTCGTGACTAACGAGGGAACCGTTCCAAGTGATTCACTCCGATTTAATCAAAACATACTTTTTCATGGGTTACTTTTGATGCTGATTACGAATCTGATATTCATTTCGGCCAATATGACTTTCTAGTATGGATCTCCCGCAACCAGGTCTCTGGAGATCCATCCCGAATAATTGAACGAAGAGATTCTGATATGGCCAGTTTGTAGAGCAAGTCAAGTTACACAGGTACATAAGTTTCCAGACATACCAAACACGTTCTCTCAGAGATGCAAAATTTTTACTTGCATCACTCGTGGAAATTATAGGCATGGTAGTTTTTCTTACATTAAAAATTTTATATCTCTGAGAGAACTTGTTTGGTATGTCTGGAAACTTGTGTACCTGTGTAACTTAACTTGCTCTACAAACTGGCCATATCCGAATCTCTTCGCTCAACTATCCGGGGTGGATCTCCAGAGACTTGGTTGTTGAAGATTCATACTAGAATTAAATCGGGCTGAATCACTTGGAACGGTTCCCTCATAAGACTAAATTAAACACGCACTAGGGGTGGGACAGTTCCAGTTTCTATATTTCCTAAGAATTGGTCACTAGTTCAGTTCCTGTGGAACGGGAACTGGTTATCAGTTCTTTTCAAGAATTGAAAATAAAATAAGTGTAGCTAGTTATATTGACTTGGTTTAGTCAACTAAACACACTATCTAGCTCTGGCGCACTACACTCACTCTAAAAAAAAGTCCTAGATTAATAAACTACAATAAAAGAGTTTTTTGGACTAAAAAACTGATCAAAAAATCCAAAAGAGTTTTTTAACAGGTTTTTAGGCCAAAAAACTAAAAAGCGTTCGTGGTCGTTTCATTTTTCTGGGCTTCACTGTAGGTTTTCCAAAAACCCTGATTTTTCAGATAAAATCTATTTTTCTCATACCAGGAGTACTTTTAAGAAAACGTAAGGTCATATTCGGAATCAGCGCGTCGAGTACATCGAATCGTATATAACACAATAAGTTTTGGATCCCAAAAACATCCATGGAAATCTTCTCCCATGAATCAGCAAGACTGATTTTCAAAAAAAGTGATTTTTTCTGAAAATATTTATTTTATTCTTTTTGAAGGGCATCACAGATGGCAAAAAATCTGATGTCTCCCTGCTATGAGAAAAATGTACACTGTGAGACTGGTAGCAATTTCTATATTAAGGTTACATATTAATGTCAAACAGAAAACTATAAAGTTCGATTTATGTTGAATATTCATGATTATCCTCGCCTGTTTTACATGCGATGTGAAAAGTTGCTGGTAAATCAGTGGCGATACCTTCTCTCTAGTGAGCTGAAGATAATATCTAATAATATATCTAAAAATCTTGTTTCAACGTTTTATCTTACTTTTTCAGTTCTTTACAATTTTCGTAATTTTTGAGAGTTTTCTTAAATCCGTGGTTTAGAAGTCGAATTTGACATTGAAACCATTTTGAAATTAATTACGATCATGGAATTCCACAAAAAGATCAGTTTTGTGAAACGGGGAAGCTCGTCCATGGCATACACAAGCACAAAACAGAAATATTTTCACGAACTTAGAGCGACAAAAAACTTTATTCTTCAGAATTTTATATCAAACGTTTCAGAATGATATAATGGGAATTTTATTCTCGATTTCGTTCTGATTCAAGATTAAAAAGCTTAAACTATGCTTCTACATCAAACACAATAATTGCGTAATTAGTACAACTGATCTTATCGTTGTTGAATATCATAGTGTTTTATTTTTACTCCAAATATATTAGAGGCAATGGGCCACACTTGCTTTAAACTTCAGGTTAAAATTATTGTTTTGTTAAACAGTTGAACTTCATACATCGTATATTGTTCAAATAATTTTTGTCTTTATTGTATCTTATATACCATGGGAAATAATGTAATAATTTCAAATATATTGAAAGATCTTGATCTTGATAATAATAGTTTTAACAACAAAGAAATTAATGAAAAAGCTTAAGTTTTTTCATTTTAAAATTGTACACATTATTCACAAATAAGTAAATTTTCAATAGAATTAAATAATCAATTCTCACAAGTAAACATTTTTCCATTTGTAATAAGAGCGTTATATATCGCAATCACCGGCAGTCTATTATTCGTATCTTATGATTTTGATTTGAATTTCAAATTCAACTTTTCTCTGACTTTAGCGTAGTTCGTCTCGACATTGCTTTTCCGCTTATAATACAGGCTGATTCCTCTTCCAACTGATTATAAAATGTTTTCATTTTCTGAAATATATCAAAAAATGCGTTGCTTTCTTTATTAGTATCAGAGTTATTTTTAGTTAGATCTTTAGGGGAAGTAGTGTCATAAATAGGAGAGGGTGGTTTTTCTATGTGAATAAATTCATCTTCACTATCTGCATCATCATTGTCATCGTCTTTATCAGTATCCGATGATGAGTCGTCGGCTAGCAATCTAAATAATTTAGAAAAAGACATATTGAAGCTTCGTAAATGAGACGACTTCATACCGGTCCTCAACAAAAACATCGTCAGAGATATCGTCCGGAAACGGATCATTAACAGGACTTCGAGATCGAAAATGTAATCGTCCTTCTTCGAAATTTAAATGTGGTGCAGTTGTTTGTGGTTCTAGACTGAATTTGAAAGCTGTCTAAATGAAACAATGCGATAATGACAAAGTTCTTAAAGATAAGTCAACAAAGCACGCTCTTAGTTATTTGTAACAGATATTGTCCCACTACTAAGTAAAAACAAGCCGTTTATTCACCGTTTCTCGACTTACATTATCTTCAGTAATTCCACTTCGAATTTCTTTCTCATCGTGTAACGTTGTTGATGTCAATGATGAAATGGTGAATGTAGTAGATTTCATAGAATTTTCTATGTATTCAGCAAACTTCTCGTCACTGGTAGTGATTGCGAATGGATTTAACCGTTCAATCTCTTGCTGAGATTCGTCGTTTTTAGAACGAGATAATGGAGATAGAGATGGATTTTTTTGTTCTACTATCGTATCAGCATCTGGTAAAGTTTTGGTACGATGATCACTCATATTCGAAGACACAGAGATGTTATGATCATCAGTATTATTTGGCATGTGGAGTTGTGATGCCATTTCGTCGCCGTTCTTCTTGTTCGTAGTTTGCATTAGTGACGGTGTTTGTTCTGTTTCTTCTCCTGAAATGCCTGCTTTATTCATATTTTCGATATATGATGTTGTTGTGGGAAAATGGACTGTGTTAGATATGCCAAAATTGGTTTCTTTGAGTCTGTCATTATTGTGCGAATCGACAAGGTTAGCATCAGGCTTAACATATTCGTTACTCTTGTCATTTAACGAAATATATCCTGGTGATAAGAGATTACTATCCTCTAATGTATTACTTGACATACCTGTATTTATTTATAAAAAGTGTCTCTATTGCATGGTTCTGCGAGTAGTAATCATGTATCTTTTTTATTTCACGCTTCGATGCTTTACTCCACAGAAATCAATAACAGTGAACAACATTATATGACAAGTAACAGATGCATTATAAACATAGCACAATACATATACACAATTTAATACAAGGTAGTTTTATTATTAGAAATAAAAGTTTCTTTTAAAATTAGTTTTCACTCCATGACACTTAGTAGAGAAAAATTCCGTTTCGTGTACACAAGCAAAAATCTGTGTCTTGCTTTTTTGAGTCTTAAATCACGAGCCAGATCACGTGATAGAAGAACAGTTGATGATGAACAACATTGTTATTCTAGCAGCAAAATACTTTTTTTTTGTAAATGAATGATAGTTTCTTGAAACATATAAAGTAAACGGATATATTTCCTTATACTAATCATGTCTAGCTAGTAGCCAACTGCTGTCCGATCATTGTGAGTCAAACATTAGCTCACAAACATTAGTTCTGCAAAAAAAATAGCACTATTATTTTCAAACGCAAGTATGGATTATGAATGTTTTTAATTTAATCTTCTATAGAACTCTGAAAGGCGAATGTATTAAACTTTAACGACGACTTTCTCGTGCTATTGGTATGACTATGTTTTTTTCTACTAAAACTCGTATCGTTTATTTTCCTACTCATATTCTAACAAAAAATATCGTCAACAAATATGAATACAAAAAAACGTGAGTTTGATTATTTAAACCTGTCCATATATGTACAACAACAAAAGAAAAAGAAACGCGAAAAAAAATCTATTGGAATTATACAGTTCAACAAAAAACAAACGCACAACTGTTTTAAAGCCAAATAGAGGAAAACAAAAATAAATAGCTAACGTTGTACAGTAGTGAAGAAAAAAAACTAAATAAACATGAAAAAATATATATGCTTTTAACTAGTGAAAAAACAGAAGAAAAAATATTTTTCGTATACTGAAAATTACACACCGAACTTGTTACATTGATTACAGTGAAATGTTGCTTATGTGAAAGGCAGTTTTAACAATCGAGAAAGAGTGGATTGACCACATTCAGCATTATAATATCTGAATAGTCATCAAATTCACAGTGAGACCATTCAATTACAAAATATGCCGTTACGATTAATTTGAAAAATTAAAAGAAAAGAAAATTAAGATGCTTCATGCGTTGGTGAGTACAATAATGGGAGAGCCATACTGGTAGAAAGAAACGTTAACACATTTTTGTTCATACAAATATATATATCTTCTTAAAAACTACAGAAAATCAAGGCCTGATGAAAACACACAGATGCAAAAAAAAAATATGAATAACAAACACAAAATTAGACTTTTAACACAATAGAGAAGTAGTAATAAATTCTTTTCTTGAAAAAAATAACGTGACGACGAAAACAGAAAGAAAAACAAGTACTTGAGCATCTAATAACAAAAAAAAAAGATCGTACAAAAAGAAAAAAATAATATCTGCTAATAGCCGTTCCAAAAACAAAAAACTATGATCATAATAGAAAGAAGACCTATATTTTTGAGCACTGGAATATGTAAAGAAAGACGAATATCTGTTCATCAACACAATAACAGCAAAGTAGAAGAAGAAAATCATCTGTTCATAAAGCCGTACACCGGTTATACATTAACAAAAAAAAAAAGTTTAAAAATATAAACAACAACGATCATACACTTTTTGTTTTTGATAGTGAGAATATAAATAAATACAAAATACATTTTCGATGTATAAAAAAATATCTGACTGGTATCTCATACTCGAATGCACAGTTCAACTTTAAAATGGCCAAATATTGGTTCGTTTACCATTGTCTCAATAAAATATTGATCTGATTCAGATTCTTGCTGCTGTTGATGTTCTTGTTCAGGATCTAAATAAAATAAGAAATAGTAAATGTCAGTTAGAATGTTTGATCATTCAGCAGGACGTCTACTGATTTCAATACTCCTTTCGTCTTACCTTGTAGTTGTAAATGTTCCATAAATTGATCAAAATCGGCAATTGTTTCATTGGATATACCAAAATCGAAATCATTTTGTAAAAAATCAAAATCTTGAGCTGAAGGCAACGTTTCAGCTAATAGATCATCGCCACCATCATTTGCATCGAGAATGGTATCTAAAAATGAGGATGGATTTTGTTCTCTTAATGTTGCCATCGTTGTTGCCGCCAAATTTTGAAAAAATGATGAAGGATTTGACGTGGGTGATGTTGGCTCAATTAATGTGGAACACAATTGGTTTTCAATTGATGAGAGTAATGACTAAATACGAACAAAATAAAACCAACTGTTCGTGAACTGAAAATAAAGTATGCGACTAGTTCAACATACCTGCGGTAAATCAAAATCCATCTTAAGATCATTTTTAGTAACCAGAGAAATAACAGCTATTTGAGCAAGTTCATTCGATATAATTGGAAGAGTTTGACTTTGACGAGTGGATCCCTGTTTTTGATCACTAAAAAAACAATCATTGACAGAAAAATAAACTACCATTTTGAAGCTAACCATATTTACAAGTTTAAATATTTTTGTATAAATTCTTCAAGTTGTTTATTTTCATGATTTTCGTATTCACCATTTTCATCCAAATTTTGACAACATTGACAGCGATATAAATGACGTTTAACACGAGATGAACGACGCAATAAACGATTATGTGAAGATGAGGATAAACTAGAATGAAAGAACGATTTTAAAGATCAATCTATAACTAACAACTTGTCATTATTTGGCTAAATCAGTGCAACGAATAGTATTCGCTTTTGTCATTTCTCGTACGGAGAAAACGATGTAGCTGTTATAGAAGACGCATTGTACTCTCTCAGAATGGATATCGTAATATAATAACTTACTCTTCTTTTGGTTTAACATTTCGTTTGAGATATTCAATTATACGTGTTAAATAAAATAATGATTCGGTATGTTCAGTATTTTTTTCTTTGGACAATAATCGACAATGTTCATCCATAGCATAAAACGCCACATCTAAACAAACAGATGAACATAGCCATTTTAAAGATCGATTTACTAATTATCACACAAATGGTATCATGACAGATTTCAAAAAAATTGCGTAAAAACTTCATTGCCTATATAATGTCATAGTTCAATACTTGTAACAATTTCGAATACTTCTATACTTATTACAGTTTTAAAGGTGACTTATTAAACATCAACGAAAACTTATCATTACCCTCATTTTCTTCATTATCTTCTTGTGTTTCGTTAATTTGATCATTTACTAATGCTGTTGCTGTTTTATTTTGTCTCAATAAATGTTTAATAAACGCTAATTTTGATGATTTTTTCAGTTTATGTGACCACAGTTCTTTTAGCATTTTTCGAATCGCTGTTTGCTTTAGGTAAGGTTCCAGTTGACATGCATATATTCTAAAATAGGA